ATCCATATCAATCTTAGTGCCGGTATCTATGAATCAATCAAGTCGGAGAAAATCAATCGGAAAAACAATACGATAAATCAATAAATCCGTCAAACGATCAATCAATCAAAATCCAGTCTATACTATCAAGTCAAATCAATCAGAAGAACAATACGACGATTCTGTACAGTAGCAAGTCGAATCAATGCATAAATTATGGTATCAATGAATTCTATGAATCTATGCCGTCCATGTCCTATATCAATATCAATATCAATAATCAATAATCAATAGTAGTATCAATGCTCGATGATCAATCAATGAAATCAATCAATGAAATCAATGAATCCGGACGTAAGCAATCAATGCGAATCAATAAATCAATGCATAACAGAAATCCATACGATGCACATGCAATTCCATACATTGGTCTACTCGACAAGCACAAACACTAGCTATGATCAACCAGGTAAAACTGGTATTTCAATAGTGCTGTTGTAGAATCGTATTGCTGTTGTAGATATCCGCACGTTTGTTCTATCAAAGAAGAGCGTCACTCTTTTGCCTCGTCGTGCCGCCCGTCGGCATATAAAACTCCTATAACTCCCAATCGTTATATCGATGATCTATGGTCTATGATTTTAAGGAAAGCCCGTGCGGCCCACCAATCTCTTACAGGTCAATATCTTATCTTCAACCAACGTTCAACCAGGTCCCACTTTCTTTCAGTATCAATCAAGTCAATGCAATAATCGATGCAATAATCAACAATAAAGAAATCTAAAAACGATCATATCAATAGTCATGCACATATCAATTCAATCTAGCAATTTCAACCAATCAGAAACTCGTACGAAAATCGGCAGAGTAACGGCAGTCGGTCAAATTTACACAAAAACTCCAAAAATTTACAATTCACCAAAATAATACAGAACGTGGCACAGCAAACATTCTAAGACTATTCTTCTACTGCTCAAACCAATTCGGACATCATAATAAATTACAGTCAAAAATAAAAACTCCGCAGAACCAAAACGAACCGCACGAAATCCGCCAGAAAATAATCAAAACGTGCAGAATATAATCACGTTCTACAACATACCAAAAGTTACGCGGTGAAATCCTTTACCAGTACCAAACCGGTACAAAAATCACTTACAAAAACACAAATTCTGAGCACCATTTCGCAAAATTCTCAAAATCTTTGAAAACAGAAGTAGGGTTCGGTAATCCTTACAGCGAGACAAACAAAATATCCAACAGGCAACGAACGACGAAAATCGCTCCGCGGACCCCGAAATCGGACTTCTTCCTTTGCTGTTACGCCTCTTTTTCCCTTTCTCTTTCTCTCTCCTCAAAATATCTAATTTTATAAAAATGATTTTCTCTCTCCTCAAAACGAGCTCATTTTCTTATATCATTAGTGGGATCGGCCCGGCCGATCGTCACATCGTCCCGGGACGATCAGACCAAAATCGATCGTCCTGGACGACTCCCAGAACTATTCTCAGGACGATATTTTCTACAGTGCAGATCGGCCTGGACGATCTCCAATCGGCCCGGACGATCCTGGGAAAAATATCACTTTACCCAGCAGCTACAGCAAAGGAACGAGGTCTCACAACTTGGAGAGTGTAAAAGGACAACGGTTCTCTGCCAACACTTGGAGAGTGTGAAAGGACGGACGGTTCTCTGCCAACACTTGGAGAGTGTGAAAGGACGGACGGTTCTCTGCCAACACTTGGAGAGTGTAAAAGGATGATGATTCTCTGCCAACACTTGGAGAGTGTAAAAGAATGACGATTCTCTGCCCTACCGGGTAGTGGTGGAAGAGAGTTTTTGTAAAGGCTTCTCCGCCTTGTTGTGGGTGCAAAAGGAGAGTCACTAATGGTATTAGTGCAATACTCTGAGGGTGCCTCCGGGGAGTGGATGTAGGTCGTGTTTAATCAAACCACTATAAATCTTGTGTCTTTTTATTTTTCGCTGCTTTTATATTTTCTGTTTTAACTTGTGGTTGAAAAACCTTTCTAGAAAAATTCACTAAAGTTATTCTCGGTTTTTTAATTTCAAAAAGAGGGATAAATTTTTAATTACCAATTCACCCCCCTCTTGGTTAACTGCTGGGACATAATCTTAGGTCTAACAACCTAATTCATATTGAACAAGTTTCAACATCAACCTCACCTCCTCTCTTTCCATTGTGATGTTGACTCTCCAACCCTTTCCTAAGATGAAAACACATCTAGCTACTCAAGAGTTCTAACCTTAAAGAAAAAAAAAGTTTATAAAGTGTACTCTAAAGAACCCTAATTTTTAATATTAAGCCTTCTGATCATACAACATAATTCACATATCATACAATATGATTATTTCAATTAAATCACAATTCATCTAGGACAAGCCAATGTTCATCCAACGAGTTCTTGAGTGAATCATACAATAAGATAATATATTGTATACTTTCATCATTAATGATGATTTGAACTGATTTGATTCATTAATCCTTAAAATTAAATTATGCAATTTTAATTAATATTCATATAGTACAAATTGTTTTGTATAATATGATTAGTTAAAATTTTAAATTTCAAAATTACCTAATTTAAGTAAATAGGATTCGATAGAAGGGTGTGGTTGTTGTACTATATAATTAGTTAGAGCTTATTTTAATTAATCACCTTTAATTAAACATTTGAATTAATTTATTATTGAATTGATTATACAATACGATTTGGATCCTACAGTATGATCAACTTAAAAATTTAAATATTCAAATTTTCTCTTCTTTATGTGTGTGTGCACGATTACTTAGCCAATATACACCTAATATAGAAAATGACTAAAAAATATAAATTACAGAATCTGTCAAATATAGACTGACTTATACGCTAAAGCAATACCATTTTGATTCTTCATTCTTCAATGTTTCTTACTGTATATTATACTTGAAATAACTAGTAACACGCAAGAAAATATCCAATGTATAAAACAAGAATAAAAAAATACTCATCCAATAATATTTGTAATTATCAAAACAAAAGATCAGGCTCCTGGATTGAGAGTATTTGGTGCAAAAGACTTGCTAGTCGAGAAGGCCATGGATCGACATTTTTGTTGGGTTGGGAGTAGAGATCAACATCTCTACCTAGTCAGGAGGAAAAGGGAGGGATCATCATTTCTGCTGGAGCGATGAGTTAAAGGAGGGATGACATCTTCACTGGGTTTGGAGGCAAGAGGGATCGACATCTTTGTCGAAGCAAGGAGCTAAAGAGGGATGAAATCTTCGTCAGCCCAGGATGTAGGAGGGATATTATTTATTGTCTGTAAAGGTCATTCTTCATTTCATCAAGGGAGAAGGGCTTTTCTGTCTAGCTGTATGCTAAAGTAAAGTCACTTTTAGTATAATACCTAAAGAGGATGACTTTTGGGGAGTCGTCGTAAGTTGATTTCGACCGAACACTAAAAATCAGGTTTGCGCACTCTTTACTTTCTTTCAATTTATTTTCCACACTCTATTTTGATTTTTGTTATTTTTGTTATTTTTGTGGAAGATTTCTTTAGTTTAATTTTTTTTTTTATTTGTGAAAGAATCTTTTAGTTTACTTTTGACTATCTTTGTGAAAGAATATCAGGTGATAAATATTTCACTTTAGGTGGAGGATGGAGAATGAGAATTCTCCATGTTTTATTTTTGATCCCTTAGGCTACATTCTTTTATGTGTGTGTGTGTGTGTATATATATATATATATGAATTTTTTTATATGAATTAATAGATATATGCATGAAAGTATATTCAATAAATAAATATATTGAATAATTTATTTAACAAGTTAAATCAAACGCTATTGAGTTTAATAAGTTAAACTCAAAATAAACTCATTTACATCCCCTACGCATATCAAAGCGTCTTAATCCCGCAATTTAGTTTGATAAGTTGCCTTCCTTGCACGGCATTGAAGCGTGAGGACTTATGGGAAAACAAAGCTTCCAAATTCGACACAGCTCTGAAACACAAATTTCAAACCTGATGATGATCACAATGAATCAATAGCTACCGTGTGCCAAAAAACTGGTAGACCAGCAATATTAAGTCCAGGAGGAGGAGGGAGAAAGAGAGAGGGAATGAAAGTTTTCCTCTTTTCATTCTTCCATCAGCTTCAACATGAGAGCCGTTGGTCTTTCTCTCCACCACCCTCTCCCTCATCTCTCCAACAAGTTGGCCAACTCAAGACAAAAGCTCTACCGCTGCTTGACCACGGCTGCCACGGAGGATTCCGATGATCAATGGTGTAGAACAGGGAGAATGGTGGATAAGAGCATGCCTGTACTGAGGAAACGAATGAAGGAAATCAGAGCTTTGGATAGAGGAACTGGACAGTATGCAAATGGGCTGGTTGAGTTGGAAGAAGGATATTGTCACACATTCATCAGCTCAGAGATGCTCGAATTGCTCGGAATTCTGAAGCTCCAATCTTATTTATCAGAGGAAGAACGCTCGCCTAAGCTGCTGATTGGGTTCTCCGTGATGCTTACTGTGAACTTACCGATTCCAATGCTTGTTGCTGTTCTTCATCTAAAAGATGCTGCAAAAGGGATAATTGACGTTATGCGTCTTAATAGATATAATGATTGTTGAAGATTTTTTAAGTTTAGGGTTAAGCTTGTAAATTTTTTATTTACGATATTATGCAATATAATTATCACTGTGAAGGAAGAAGCTTCGTTGTTCTTCCATAGCAGATAAACTTCCCTAAGTTGATTTTTATGTTTTAAAGACAATCAAGCAAGAAGGTTAGATTGTTAGCGTTGTCATTACAAGTACTATCTGTTGAATTTCAGCTGCTGTAATGCAATACAATATATCACAGAGTAAGAGCAGAAACAGAGTTAGAGCAAATAAAAAAGTTGAATTGTATTTCTCATCTCAACTTTACAAGGTACAGCGCCACATTTATATATGTAAAAGAATTTGGAATACAGGTGACTTAGTTATGCGTCAAGGGTTGTGATTACAATGTTCAGAACATAAACGACGATGATGAAAAGAGTTCTGAAAAGCCAAATTTGCAGTATAGTTGATATATCATCACAATTTTATCATGATCGGGCACGATCTCAAAGAAAAATCAAGTCAGAAATTTTCAAAATTAAATCTAGGACCATCTGAACTCCTATTTCTGCAAACATACAATTGAACCAAAAGTTTCAAAAATACAAACCCGACGACACCAAGATCGACTCAATCCGAGCCCAAATAAGTCCAATTTGAAGACCCGAAGCGTATTTGAAAAGTTCAAACCATGAATTGGATGACCAAACAATTTCCAAATGTGACATGCTTATAGTCGAATCGAGCGGCTCGACGAGATAAATCTAATGAGCCCAAGATTATCAAATTCTAATATCATTAAGACTTTCAAATGCTCAATAAATGGTCAATTCAAACTACTCCCAACTTACCCTTGATCTCCCTCCTATTTACTGGTCATGTCACTCTCAAAAAATTATAAATAGACCCATTATTACTCATAGATGGAAAGGAAAAGCAAGGAAGAGAAGAAAGAGAAAGAAACTATAGTTTTCTTGCCACCATACTCCTCGACCACCATCGGATTTCAGCCCTACCACCGACTGACGCCGGACTTCCACCCGTTGCCAACTGACATCTAATTTCTCGTAAAAAATCTTATGTTCTCTGTTTGTGTGCTAGATATTTGTACAACGCTAAGGCGTAAAAATTAAACTCTATCACATATATTCTAGTCTGCAACAATTTGACGTTGTTTGTGTGAAAATTAATCATACAATCATAAGTACAGTTTAAATGGCCAACATGCATAGTAATCGCATGGTTAAAATTTGGTTAGGTTTTATGTTTCAAATCTCAACATAAATTTATCATATAAACCTGAATACAGAGAAAACACGATGGCATCACAGTATCAAACATTTAAAAAGTTTCGAGAAGCCATGCATACGCATAGAATAAGCATAAAATCGGAAGATCTTCAGACCCTTCAACGCGAACGCATAGCATAACCACAAAATACGCAATACGAAACAGAAAACATAGCATTAAGTTACCTTTTTCTTTGGGGGTGACGCCATCTTAGAAGAAACTGAGTGAAGAATGCTTGAAATTCCTCCGGGTGAATGCTTGAAAGTTCGAAAGTTTACTGTAACTTGAAAATCGAAACGTCGACTCCGCCATTCGACCTTTACAAGGGTTTAAATGTTGATGCCACGTCGACATTTCAATAGGCGCGCCACGTCAGCAATTGGGGGTCCGAACTGAAAAAAAATAAATTAGGTTAAATTTTAAAATGGCGACGCCTTAAATATATGAGGCGAGGTGCGCCTTATGGCACGCCTCAGTAAACTTGAGGCGTAAGCCTCATAAACTAAACTTATTGCGTAGGCTTTGAGGCTTAATTGGTCGAAAATGCGCTGAGGCGCGCCTCAAGGCGCGCCTTTTATTGCGCAATTTTAAACGTTGGTCAAGAGCATCGCCCAAAATATGAGTTGGCCGATCCTGATCATCCAGACCATCGCTCGGAATATGAGCTGTCCTATATTGATCGTCTAGGAGCAACTTAAGGTTTTTGAACTGATCGTCCCAGCCGATCTTACGATCCAGGACGATGTGATCGTATCAATCATCTTAATTGCTTTCCTTAATTGACAGATTAATTTAGGCATAATTGTATCAAATCGTCCAGGCCGATACACGATCGTCCTGACCGATTTCCAAAAATAAAGAATGCCTAAATAGATCATGGTGGCTGATTCTTTCTATTTTGAGCCTATCGTCCTGGCCGATATATATATTGTCCAGGCCAATCGGCTAATGATGCTGCCTTAACAAGATGTCCTGATTAGGATTTCTATTTTGAACCCGATCGTCTAGGACAATATAAATATCGTCCGGGATGATGTGAGTAAAAACAGAAATTCTAAATTAGATAGAAAAATCACTCAAGTGTGTGTGTAGGGTTACTTAGCATCAGAACACTTCAATGGTTACAATTGACTCAAGAAAGGGAAAAAGAGAATTACAGACTGACTCAGACCTAGTTTACCCAATCTTGAGCTGGTTCCAATTTCCATCCGATCTTGTGGCCCTGAAATGTCAGTAGAAAAGGCAGTCGTAGAGAAACAAGAGTGTTTGCTAACATCAAAGTCATAATCCATGAAAACAAATTTGCAACAAGAAGAACCTCAAAATGAGATCCTTCAACTTCTGCAAAAGACTCGGCAACCGGTTCTAGCACAACAAGAGGAGGTTCTTCTCCCTCGAGATCCATCACTAGTTGAAGGTGTTTGTTATGAACATTTTCATGCAAATATTTCTCTTCCTCAATCAAGGATGCATCCCCCATCACATCAAAGACAACAAACTTGATGACATAATAAGCTTTACCCGTCCTTCATGCACGAATCGATAACCTAACATTCCTCAGATTTGGCCCGACCTCATGTTATTGATCTCCAACACAACGCTTTACATCATGAATTACGCCGAGAAGAACTCCCCATGGAAGATAAAAGAAAATCTCTTTGTCAGTGGAACTTCTAGGAGTCATCACCCCTGACTAAAGCCATCCTTTAGCACCCCATTCTGACAGGAATCAAATTATTGAGCATCGATTATCATGAAGGGACATCTAACCCCTATGAGCATATTGATCATTATATAACCATCATACATATCCAACGAGCTTCAGATGTGCTCGTCTGCTAAATTTTTCCTGCCACCCTCAAAGGACAAGCACGGATGTCGTTCTATTCACTTTCAGCATAAACTATCTCCACATTTAGCAAATTTGCCAAAGTGTTTGTTAAATAATTCATTGCCAATCAAAAAATTGCTAAGGATTCTTCCACATCTCTAGGATTTGCTAGAAAGAAAGAGAATAACTAAAATAATATTTTTAATGATTTTCCAATAGGGATCGGCAAATTCTAGGAGCAGATCCTGAATTCCTTTGTAAGTGTCTGTAGTAGTTCATATTATGGATTGTAAGGATGTAATTCCTTTGGATAGTTTCTTGACTCCATTGGAGTCAATTCCTACTCCCGATCTCCATAGAATCTCTTTCCCTATGGGTTATTGAAGCTCTTTGTCAGACTTTCTATGAAGATGACTTATTAGGAGAAGAGGCAGACGATGATATTTCTATCCATTACATTTTTGTTATCATAATATGAGGTATGTTAGATGGATAAGGGGATCCAGATGTCATGATTAAAGAGCTGGGAGAGGTTGATGTGCATTATATTATCGCACAAGAGGTTCTCTTTATTCTACTAATATAGAGGCTATAAATTCATATTTACATACTTAGATGGATAAGATGATTGTCCAGTTGACAGCTTTAGAGGCTACACCCCAGGGCATAGATATAGGCACTCCTACAACACCTAGGGATGAGATGGAAGTGATGTATAGCTTAGTAATTTAAAAGATTTAAGTCAAAATTTATGTTTAAGAGAATCAGTGAAAAGATTTTAGATTTTAGGTTTAGAGATTTTTAAACTTAAGATTTTAGATAATTGGATAACCTTCCCTAGGATAATCTGGACTTACAATCTCCTAGAGTGAACTCCTAGTTAATATCTTAAGTGTCAATTAACGCCTTAAGTGTGATGCCCTAGGATCTAATTTGGAAGAATTATTCATTTATCTTGTAATAAATAACAACTAGAGCTATCTAATATCATATATTATTAATAAACAAAAAAATAAATTCTTTAATTTAAAATATTAATGTACACATATATATTTATTTTGATTGAAAATGTAGTTTGAAAAGTATTAATTTTCTTTGGAAAGATTAAATTTTTGAACTTTAGTTTTGAAATCGAACACAACATTAGGAATAATATATCATCTCAAAAAGACGAGAATATCATTCACTAATAGGTTCAGATTACAAAGCTTTAACTTTATCCTGATTATCGTAGTCAAACTCATGAAAGAATCACATTTGACCCCGAAGGATCAAAATGGAATTTAATCGAGTATTTAACTATGCTAATCTGGATAAAAGGATCATTAATTTCAAATTCAAAATCACAATAATATGACGACACATCTTTCCAAGGAAAGAAAATATCGTCTATTATTAATCATTTGAAAATGACGATAATGATTATCAATTTTGAATTTTCCAAAGATAATTAATTAAAGGTTTTGAAAATTTGATTTTGAAAATTATGTTTGGGTTTCTAAATCTCCAACGAGCGCAAGCCCTCGTAGTTAATTACATCAAAGGATACATAAGTATCCTACGAATACTCTCGATTAAAATAGCGGTATAAGTTTCATTTAAGATTTTCAAATTTAGATATCAAAGGAGGTAAGGACTAGAATTTTCAAACAGGACTGGTTCAATGTTGAACACTTATTTCTAGAGTCAACGGAAGAAGGGTAGGAGGTGTTTTGAGATTCTGAATTACTTTAGAAACACCTCAGCCTATTCTAAGTGTTGGGCTTGAATTTGATTGAAAGTGATTTAAGTTTGAATGATCAATTTTATTAGAAAGTTAGGACTTATATTCTCGATCACCAGATCGGGAGAATGCCCAGGAGGTAAGGGTGAAGACTAACCTAATAAGTGCGTATGACATCCCCGGTCAAGATCCCATGGTTTTCCATCATCCCGGGTTCGTCGGTATCCTTATCCTACTTAGTCGAGTGCCGACTAGAGGATCCTTGTTAGAAACCATGGGTTACCTCATTCAAAGGGACCTTGTAGGCCAAGGGGCTGGGTACCTAATCCTAGGCTGACAAATAGAAAGTGCACAGGTCTATGAACAGTGAACCTATGTCTATATCATCTAACCTAGGATGCCACTCTCACTTTGTGTGCATATCAATCTATCTCAAAAATGGAAAGAAACACCGGCCTAACCTAAAGCTAGAGTCCATGTCCTAACAAGTCAATCTAGGTGTGTGTAGCAGGCTGTGTGGTTTAGATATATCCTAAATCGGGTAATTGGTTAAAATTGTTTAATGTTCTGGTTGGTTGAAAGGCTTAAATGAAGATTTTGGTTAAAGTTTAAGTCTTAATGATTCAAAATTTATTTTAAGATTGATTCTTAATTATTTATTGGATATCACCTTTGTTGCTCACCGAGGCCGTGAAATTTATTTCACCTTCCTTGGGGCTAATTTAATAGCCTCGTAAGCCTGGGTTACCCAGTGGTATCCGGTATGATTAAATGAATTAGATTTGATTTAAGGTTTGAAATTTAATAATCTCAATTAAGGTTGATTGATTGCTGGTTTTTAAAGTTAGATTGAAATTTTTTGGATTTTTAAATCAAATATTTAATGTTATAAAATTATTTGACTCACTTAATGTTTTTAATTAAGGGGTTAAAATTTGAATTTTAGGTTAAGAATATTTTCTAAAAAAAATTAGTATTTTATTAAAATATTAGACCTTAAGATGAGTTGAATGCCTTCAAGTTTGACTGATTTAGAGTTTATTTGAATTAGTTATGAATTTTCAAAGTTTTGATCATTTATTGAAATTATTTAATTGTCTTAATTAGAGAGGCTTTGATGTTTTGAATCCAATTGAATTCCAAACTCCTTGTAATCAATTCCAAAGGTCATGAATGACCCAAGGATAGATTCTCAAGTGTTTAGGAATTCTCTAGAATTTTAAATTATTATTAATTAATTATATTAATTAAATATCAGATTCTAATGATTATTAAATTATTCTTAAGTTTAAAGTCAAATCTATGTGCATTTTAATTTCATGTATAATGGATTCAAATTACTGGTCAGTTAGAGGGGTCTTTCATAGTTTGGATTTAAATTTGATTTATAAAAT